TGATCCACACCACCCACTCGTCTAGGTGCAAGAACTCCTTCTTGTGAAGCCACCGGACGATCACCACAAAGAGACTTGCTAGGCGCTCTATGTGTGAAGATGGAGGCTAGGTGAAAGTGTTTGAAAGAGTGAAGCTCTCAATGTGAAAGCTTCACAAGTGGCGCAGGAGAAATGAGAGAATAGGCTAGGCTTTTCAGAAAAAACCCTTGGAGGAACAACTAATCACATAGGCGCATAAGAGGAGAGTATTTAAAATAAAATACCAATAAGATTTTTCTCCCAAAAATATGATCATTAGGCGCTAGATTGGAGAGAGAGAAGTGAAGCTGTTTAATTTCAAAAATTGCTAACATGCTCCTGGAATATTCTCTTGAGAATTGGTTCAAAACCTATTCAAAATTCTGATCAGAAATCTTCATAAGATCAGCTATATGGTGCGCCCCATATAGCCCAAAAAGGTGACCAGATACATCTGAGTAGTTGCATTCAAATTTGAATCAACTCACTCAGATTTTCTCCCAACTGACTGAATCTTCTGGAGCTGATTTTGATGAGCAAATCTTGCTCACCAACAGCCCAAATCAGCGCCATATATAGCCTTGGATTATGTCCAAAAGATTCTCTCATGATACTAGTGATTTGTTCCAACAAGATCTCATCTTATCCTTTTGTTATGAAATAACCTTTCATAGGCAATTCAAATCGAATTCAAATATTCAAATTCAAACATTCAAATATTCAAATTCAAATGTTCAAATATTCAAATTCAAAATTCAAATTCAAAGTTCAAATTTCAAATTTCAAAATTCAAATTTCAAAATTCGAATTCAAAATTCAAATTTCGAAATTCAAATTTCAAATTTCAAATTCAAAATTCAAAATTCGAATTTCGAAATTCAAAGTCAAAATTCAAAAATTCCAAATTCTAATTTCGAATTCCAAAATTCAAATTTTAAATGTTTGATAATTAATTTAACTAATTAAATTAATTAGTAATGTCTTGGACTATCCAAGCCCATTACAATGATCCATGCGCCCTCCACCCCTTTAGGTGGAGTTCCAAACAACTTCTTAGGCTAATAACTATTATTAGGCCCAATATCTTTAATGCTAGAGCATCTAGACAATTAAGTGTTTGTGTGTGACCCATTAGGTCCGACTTAGCCACTGACATAAATGGGCTTGGGCCCAATAAGCCCACAACCCATCTAATGACAACACAGAGCACTAGCAATGCTTTGTTGCCCCATAACTAGTTAGATTAATGATTTGATCATCCTATTAAACATATTTGGTTGCCGTATGTTTGTCCCTTCGTCTCGGTTACCTTCCCATAAAACCTAGGGTAAGGAAATGCATCAACCCCTGCGGTTTAGGGTTAGCTTTATATGAAATAAGGAGTCTTCAATTTACTGACTCTAAAGGCAGATCATCTTATGATCTCTTTTACTATGCATAGATTCTGATTTCTCCGGTTTAAGGATAACCTAATCTCTCACAGAGATTTGACGAATTCCTCCAGCTTATCACCCTAGCCCTGTGCCCTATCAGGACAAGCCCAAGAGCATACCTAGGAGTCTCCATGTTTCAGGCAGACGAGGTATACAGTCAAAGCATGCCTTCTAGAACACAGTCTAAGTGATAACTTTTGGTCTAAGAAAAGACATACCCAAATATGAAGAGACTACTATAATGATACTATATGTGATATTTCCTCATAGAGTCTCTTTGTGAGTCCGTTCAGTGCGAGCTATACCCTTATAGGTCCACCCACGACTTTAGCTAAGACATCTCCATATCTGTAGCACATGAGGTCTATACCTTGTATCCATATACAAGTAGATAAGTCGTGCTAGTCTTACCCGAGATTACTGACCCCATTCTCAGTATCTCTAGACTAGGAACATAAAATTAGGAATAAACATCCGGTATTCTTGAATCCTCATGATTGTGATCTCATCACAGATACTCAAGAGATACCTATTTTATTCTACGGGGTTTATCAAGTTATTCATAATATATTAACATTAATATCGAGACAGAATTATGAGACAAGATAAAGAGTGCTTTTATTTATTTGCAACAATATTAAAAAGGTCTACATCTTTGTCCTTATTTAATCATAAGATTGTCTCTAGGACACCCAAATACTAACAGGACTTTCCCTGGAGCAATACCCTGTGTGGAGTGCCAGGTGGTGTTGACCAAATAGTAGGGCTATATTAAAGGATACTCTTAGAAGTAACCATTGAATATTATGTCTATGAACATAATAGGCTTACATGCCATTTGAGAGATTTAAAAGACTGTGTATATACGTAAAGGATAAATGGATAGTGATCATGTGATGGTCTAAGTGCCACTGTAAAAATACCTCAAGTTGGCCTGAGTGTCTGTACATAGATGTCGTGACCGTGAAATTGTTTGGTCTTCCCTTGGGGATCGGATCCCAAGAAGTATGACTCTTGGAAGTCCCAGGTGGATACTGTCTGAAGTGGGACTCATCAGATGACCTTGGTGTGTTGACAGTGTGAACCAGTAAATAACGGCATTCCTCGTGACATATTGAAGAATTGATAAACGGAGTGATGATATTTTAAATGTAATGGATATTCTACAACCATCAAGAGAAGTAACGAGAAAGAAATAATGGACAATGGATTTGAACTGTAACAGGATAAAAGGAAATCTTAAGAGTTGTGAGATGTGTACAAAGTTCTGAAGAGATTATGGATACGTGTAATAGTGATTATGTTATGAACCCTCTCTGAGGACTAATCAAAATAAAAGAGTAAGCTATCTGTGGGGAGAAATAACCAAGAATGAAATAATGGACTGTACATATATGTGATATGAGGGTAGCCCCATATGGATATACAAAACATATTTTGGCCATTAGATACGGATATTATACAGACACCAAATGGACTGGGTCCATGTATGATATGGAGTGTACTGGGTACACGTTTTGCCGTTATATACGGATATATTATAAATATGAATTCCCCTATGCACTGGGTGCGCCTTATACGACTTGATATTACTATCTCTGTGCGGCTTATGTGCCCGGAGAGTATGGTTATCTCTATGCGGCTTATGTGCCTGAAGAGAATTGTTATCTCTGTGCGGCTTATGTGCTCGGAGAGTATGGTTATCTCTGTGCGGCTTATGTGTCCGGAGTGTATGGTTATCTCTATGCGGATTATGTTCTCGGAGACTCTTGTTATCTCTGTGCGGATTATGTTCCTGGAGACTCTTGTTATCTCTGTGCGGATTATGTTCCCGGAGACTATAGTTTTCTCCTATAAGGACTTGGATACAAGGAAGTATCCTGCATTGATGTGACTGCTAGAACAGATGAGATGCTTTATGTTACTGCAAAACGGGGATTGTGCCATGTGAAGAACGCAAGATGTTATATCAGGTACTTATAACTTAACAATAATATATCAAATTGGATATAAGATGTGAGGCGAAAGGAGAAGGTATTTTGAGGTGTGATTTCGGAGCACTCGGTGGTGTGTGTGTGTGTGCACCAAGTGTGGTGACGTGAATTTTGGGTTTCACGTAATATTGTGAAGTTTTTGGGGATTCTTTCCCTATGAGAAAGGAATAACAACTTGTTAATACTGATGAATTGAGTAAATGTTATGCTAAAAGGACTAGTGATGATGAAATGTGGAGTTAAGATGGTGGCCTGATGGCCTTACATAAGAAGTTACCCGTGATGGGGTCAAGTGACGATGACTAATAATGATTGGTAAGTTAAAAGGTGTTGACTAAAGAAAGGGTGATAGCTCGGTGGAATGACTCAGTGTGTGGTATGTGGTATGTGCTTGGTGGGAGAAATATATCCTTTGGAGATACGTTATATTGATGAAATTTTAGAAATTGGTTTAAGGATGAAATTAGCCCCATATGATAGAACGATTAGGTTTGGAAATTACCAGTGTGATGAGACTTATATGTGATAATTACGATATAATATATTGAGATGGACATCCATGATGATTATGAAATTGAGGTATAAATGAGTGAAACATATGTTGAATTTACAATATTAGCATTAAGTGATAAGTAAAAATGGTTAGTTGGTGAAAATCTTAGGCATATGGCCTTTGATGCAGAAGTCAGTGATGAATTAGGTGTAAGGCTTTGGGATGGCTAAGTTCATAGATAAATGAACAATGAGTATAAATTTTAAATACGGCCTTGTGTATGGAAAATTTCATTAATGGATTTGGGGGAAAAAGGCCTCGAAATGACTGACATGAGCAATAAATTATGATGAGGGTTGCTAGTCCGTGTATCACTAAGAGAAAATATAGTTGTGATTATTGTAGAAGATGTGGAGACAAATGATAAGTAAAGTAAAGTATATAAATATGGATTTCCCTATGAGTTAGGGTTATTAGGTACTGCAATGTACCGTTGAAGTTAAGAGGTATATGCTTGTGAAAAAGCTAAGGCATCAACAAAATTGAAAGGTAGCATTATTAGTGGAAAGGACTGGCATATTAGGGTATTGTTGAAATCGTATTAGTAACGAAAGAATTGAAATACTAAAGAAAGTGAGTTAAAATGTTCAGGAAATGACCGATAAATATACTTAGAAACTGTTTGAGGTTATTGTGAACGACCTTGGGTTAGAGAAATAGATAAAAACAAAAATGAAGAGAGGTTAGGGAGACGAACTTGTAACATAGCTATATTATTACCTATAAATTTGTGACACCCTCCCTTGTACGCGTCCAAGGGGGTTGTCTGCTAAGCGGATTAGAATCGAAATGTTAGCGAGAAAGTTCTGAAAATTTGGTTTTTAGTCTCATTAAAATTTGTAGTCAAATCTGGTCTAAAAATTTAAAACCGTGTGAAACTTAGTAAAATACATGGCTTGCTGAAATTGTCATTTTTCTGAAAACCTGTCTGTCTTGCCAAAAATGATAATAAATCGAGCTTTCAGAATTTCATTGTAAAGTTTATATAATCTGAAACTAGACATGTGGGGCTTCGTGTGCATATAAATTATAAGCGAATCGGAGGTCTGTAGCCCCACGAAACATAACTCGCAAAGTGCTCGCTAACCAGTTTATAAAACAATATTTAAAACCTTCAGAAATTGTTTTTCGCAAAACATAAGCAGAATTTTCCAAAGTACAAGCTGACCATAAAATCTTAAAAACAGCAAGTAAATCCCTCTTCTAACAGTAGTCGATACTTCCAAAATAATACAACAATATAACATGTTCAGCCACATGCAAAAGACAAGGCAGACAATAGCAGAAATGCCAAACAGCAGCAGTCAACAACAAATATCCAAAACTACAACGTCATCATATGCTCTTTCGTCCTCCTGCAATTTTATAAAAATTGAGCCCCCGAAAGGGTGAGAAAAATATCAGTAGTGTGATAGTAAAATCAGTAAAGTAACGATATTAGACTAGGTACAAAATTCCAAAACAGTCACATCAACATATAGTTTTTCCATACAGATGCTAACATATAATCATAGTGCGTATATAACGCCAAAGTACTAATCATGGTGCGTATATAACGCCATAGTCATCAGAGTGCGTATATAACGCCATGGTAATGTACGCTCATAGCACTGCAGTGCACGTACTAGCATACACAGTGGAGATTCCATATTGGCTCCCTCAGAGGTGAATTCCAACTGTGACCTATGCGAACGCAAGCCAAGTGTCCCATACCCTGGTACCGGAGGGATGCCTATATGATGTGTGCTCAATCATATGCTTACTTATATTATATAATTCGGTTTCCAGAATGAATGCATAATGTTGTATGCTATGACATGATTGACTTTACACACACATGAGAAATGCAGTTTTATGATGTGCATATGCATGACTAGATTATAATCATAATATCATATAATTCGGTTTCCAGAATGAATGCATAATACCAAACTGCCGCATAACAATTACTTCTCATAGCAGAATTTCCATCATGTCAAGTTCATAGCCAGAATGCATATAACATATAACGGAATGCGAATCCAAGGCACATGTGAGCAACAATTCACAATTTCATACACTAGCTAATAGTCACAATAGGTCTCACCACCAAACACTTACCTTGTGAGTCCAAGTATCAATCAAACAGCACAACAATAGTCCACGCTGTTAGGGAATTTGCGCACCTAATATACCATTGCACCAAATCAGAATTTCATATAATTTTTCCTATAATTCACAAACAATTTCTACGCCTCCTACTCTTGCACATAATCGGTTTTCACGATTCTCATAATAAATTAATTTTCCAACTTTATATCATTTTTCTAACTTGCTACATTAATAAAAATCCAAGGTTCTTCCTTGTATCCAATTCAGTTTTACCATGCTTCTTTTCCTAGACAAATTTCTAATTTCATAACAATTTACCAACATATAACGGTGTGTAATACCTTATATTTTTATTAACTTTAACCTTATGCCTTTTAGTTAATTTGAGGAGCTCAAACTTTTAAGTTTCGAAGACGAAACTTTTTTTAAGGAGGGTAGAATGTAATACCCCATTTTTTAATAAAATAATATAGGCGTTATATACCCTATTTTTCCAAGCTCCAAATCGGTTCTTTAGGCTCCTAAACTAGATTAATTTTCTGACTAAAGGTTAATACCTCAATTTGTTAACAACGAAAATTACAAGTCCCTCATGCATTCAGGTTCGGTTAGGCTGTACTAGGTGTTCACAATTAATTTAATTACATGTCCATTCCTACGAGGTCTAAGGTGTGCTAGGAGGAACTTATGAGCATGCTGTACCTTTAAATTTGACATATACAATACTAGGTTCATCAATTCAGTCCCACAAAACAGGTTTAACAAAGTTTACAAGAGGGCTATTTTTGAGTCTCAAAACGCTAGGTTCAAGAGGGCAGAGACAGAGGCAGAACAAGTACTAGAGATGGAAAATAAACTACTTCCTAATATGCTTGTATACCGAAATAAGTAAAAGGATAGAGTTTTAATCTCGATTTATTCACTTGCATGCATTCAACTCTCACTGCTGCATGGCCGACCAGAATTAAGGAAGATTGACAAACAAGAAGTTACTTCCTAGGATGCATATATCAAACCGAAACAGAGAGGGTAAGGGGGATTCGGTTTACACTATATTACCTCTTTGCAATCAGTCCAAGTTCCACAATTGGCCAAGTTGGTGGTCTCCGAGATTGGTGCTATAGTCGTTACACTTCGACCCTCCTAAGAGCACGGTTTCAGTTGCATGCAAGGGAGGCTATCTACTCTTCAAAGGACTAAGTTCACAGCTCCTTGCTGATGGTTGTTTCGGCTGGACCAAGGGAGGGAGGGATGGCTGTGAGCTTAAGCTTGATTCTGTATGCAGAAGAAATCCTCCTCAGCCGAAAGTGGTATAATGGGACAAGAAAACAACAAAGACTTTTCTTCGCCTCCTAGATGTGTCTTCGGCCGAACAGATGAAAAGAGGGAATAAGCTAGATGATGGTCCTTATTCTGGTACAGATCACGGTTTGGGGAAGGTGTGATGAAGGGAGAAGATGCATGCAAATTTCTCTTTGGTGATCTTTCTCCATTCGCTCACGATCAAGAGGAAGGAACAGGCCAGGTTTTCGTTTCTCATTTTCATAAAATGTAACCAGCTTATATTTTCACTCACACAGCGCCGATTGAGGAAGAAGATAGATGTTGGAGGCTGTTTGCAATGCTACAAAGAGTCAGAACCTATTGGGCTTTACCCCCCTTCATGCGCATAATGTGAAAGAGGAGATAAGGGAGGATGTGGTTTTCAACCAATAAAATTACATGCAAGTTGACTTCTCCATCCTAATTGGTTGAATGCTGGATAAGGCTGACTTGGGTTGTCCAATATAACAAGCAATTAGAATTTCTTCTTACCCTATCAACCTATGCGCATAACAAGAGACTACAAAGAAAATGAGCTTGCCATGTGGAGCTCCTAACCAATAGAGGACAGCCATGCGATTTTTCTTAGGATAAGGTTAAGATGGATAAAAGTGTAGGGCTGAAACTAGGTCCCACAAAAGGGCTTATGGGCCATCGAATTTGGGGTAATTGGACCCAAAATTTATGTTTATTGACTATCCTATTTAAGGACTAACTCATGCATTATTATTTTATGTCACTCTCTAATCATTTACTAAAGGTTTAATTCATGGAGCTAAAATTAATCACATACTTATAAACAATATTCGAATTCAGAAAATATCCCTTCTTAATTCCTAATAGCATGCATGCACACAATTAAATTTCCAACTTGAATTTATTCCACCCTGAACATAAATATATATTTTGAGTTCAAACATGCATTATCTTACTAATGGTAGTTTGTATACATTCCTAATTTTTACAGGATGTTACACTCTCCCCACCAAATTTTGATGTTTGTCCCCAAACTTCGTCTTACCATCCCAAAAGCTGCTGATTTCAAATGTCTATACGATTTCATTCAAACACTACATTAGGTTACTTCCAGGTAGGCCTCTATAAAGTCATTGGACATTGACCCGGTTACTATAAACAAATAGCACCTAACCTATTCACCAGGGGTATATATATCCACGCTTTACTCACAGGAAGGAGATAAAACTTTTCTAAACTTATTCGTAACAAAACAAATACCTGGTTATCCTTTTATCAACATCAAAAATCTTGCTCCCACAAAATGACGTAAAACTGACGTATGAGCTTACCAACAAATAACTCCAGCTTTCAACATTTATCATGAAGCTCATAGCTCTAGCACATATTTAGTTGGCAAACTAAATAAATCCATTCACAAAACACTTTTCATTAAGTAACTTAAATAACAATATTAGTGGGGCATAAGTGAACAGAATTTTATTCACCCGATTCAGGATTGCAACACAGGAAATAGAACATAACAATAAACAGGTGGCTCCTCAAAATTCCTATATCAACACTCACCCTAGATGTCTCACCCTACTACTACTCAACCGATCATAAATTTAAAGGTCTAAAAAAAAAATACAATTAACAAGTCAGTGGCCTACATCAAAAGTTCCTAAGAATGTAGGGGTCCATTTATCAATGAAGTAATATTACCTCCATTACCTGTGCACATATAAGAGTCAATTAACTAAGATCTCCAATTTTAAATGTTTCGTCTTTGTAATGTGCATGTTACAACTTCTTAGAAGTGCCATCACCTCCTACTTGATTCTTATCAATAATAACGGTCCAGTTCACTCGCTAAACACATCACACATATGCATTATATTCAGGTTTCTACATTAGTCACCTTACCTAAAAATATCACAGATAGAATTCTATTTTCATTATCCTTCAGGAATTCAAGCAAGTAAAACAGAGAACATTACATTCTAAATTTCAAATGAGAAGAATTTTCGTAAAATCAAAAAACTTTTATCCTACGTTTCATACCTATCATGTTAAGTGGTACCCCTCATACAGTTCATCAAAACACCCGTATGAGGAAACTTCCTCGAGCTTTTCGCTGTCCTTAGTACCTCGGACGTAATTGACTCCACAGATGTGTGGAAGTGTTAAATTGGATTGAATACCCTTTGGTTGGTGAGCATGAAAAATTCGGCCTATAGAGGGCATGTATGGTTTGAGGATGTAAAAATTATGTAATTGATGTGGTGTGGTGGTAAATGGTGTTTCAATAAGTTGTATGTTGGTGTGGTGAGGTGAAATTAGAAGGAAAAATATTGGATGATGTCTGAGTGTGCATTCGGCCTATGAGAAAGGAATTAGAAAGGATGTTACTAGCATGGTTTTAAATTGAATGAGGGACTTGAATTAGTGTATGGTAAGTCCAGGAAACCATGGGAATTATGAAATAAAATTAAGAACATTGTTTGGAAATTCTTGGCCAAATGGTCGAACCTATGCATGTGTGGAGGGTGGATTTTGAAGCTTTTTAATCTTGATGATTGAACCTTGTATTGATGATCCTTGTGTGATCATTGTAGGTTGCCTCTCACGGAAGGGAACTTGGAGCTTTGAGCTTGGTGGGTTGCTTTTGGTCCTTGACCAAAGGAATTTTGACGTTTCTTGTGGTACCAAGCTCGGTGACAGATTAAATTGGAACTGTCAAGTGAATGAGATTAATCAGGTAATCCCTTGGTACTGGGATTTAATCCCCGTATGTGTTACACCATGATCCTTGAGGGTAGTTGTTGGAGGTGTATGTTGGTAATGTAGTATAACATGTTCAAGTATTATTGTATGTATAATGGTATATAGGATGTGCCGTGTCTCTGGCCAGTAGACTGTTGCCTTCAGGCGTTAAGGACTTCCACTGGATAGGTCTCCATGAGGGAGTTCCAGTTGACCTGGGGTCATGGTGTGTCATCCGTTGAGGAGCACACTAGGAACGTCTCAGGTGTATATGGATGGAGGGTGTCTTGTTTGATGTTCTGGGAACACTTCCTTGGATTGGAACCCGTAGGCTATATGTCGAGGCCAATAGGCCGGATGTTGCGTGGTATTGACATCGACCATTCCAGCTTCATCGTATTTTATTCCCTATGCTTCCCTACTTCACTAAATCCCTTGTTTTATCCCGTTTTGAATGTTGTAGTATATTATTGATATACATCTGAGTGAGCCATTGGGCGGAGTAATCTCCAGAACCTCTGGGTTATTGAGATATATCCGTATATCCCACCCCGTTTTGGGGACTTTATTTTAGGTAGGGGCAGTGGTACCGGAGCGGCAGGCAAGAGGCTCGGAGGATGAGTATGGTAGCTGGAGTTTATTTTTCATTTTGCGGCCATTGGGCCTAGGCTAGACTTAGGACTTGAACAATGTATCTGAGCTAGGTTTATTCATTTTGTCCTCTTTGTTCATGTCACATTTTGTCTAAGTTTAGTCATCATTCTCGTGATTTATTTTGGAGATTATTATGTTGTATATTGGTTATGTTTTATTTGAGGTTATTGTAATATTTCTAATGAAACACTGTAGTTTGTAATATTGAGATCTTGTGTAATATTAAAGCATGCTATATGATGAAAGAGCAATAGGCTTATTCTAAGATATGGATTATGTTTTATGTCAAAAGAATGCATGCAAAGGAATTAAGAGTGCCACCCATGTTTATTAGATACCATTTTGGGTTAGATAACACACTTTGAAAAGTGGGATATGTTGGGAAAATAAAGGCAACTCTGGCAAAATTTCTATAAAATGGCAGATTTTGAGTGAAGCCATGGAATACAGACTGCCCAAAATCCCTTGCACTTGGGGCTGTCACTGTCTGTTTTTGGGAAAATTATTCCCGCCTCAATTGTTGGTCAAATTAGGTGCATGATATATCTAATTGAAGCGTGAGGTGTATAGTTTGTTGTATAAAAATTTTAGAGCAAGTGGTTGAGTTCTTTGTTTGGAATCGTGCAAAGAGTGAGGGCTGTTTGGAGCCTTGTTTGAGGTTGGTTGGCAGATTTGCTTACGCAACTTCAAACGGTGATATCCAAAGCAAACAATAACTTTTTGGAGCGTGTGATAGCTTGTTAGAAATATAATTAAGTCTAGAATAATATATTAAAAGATGGGAGGTTCGTAACTTGCGGATTTTCCGCAGTAATTAAAATACTGAACCATGTTCGGAAAGGTAAAAACTGAAAAAGTGAGAATTATGCTAAGTGTGTTTATGGGAACTCCTTAGTGACTTGAGAGAAGTAGTATAAGATATTTAGGCATTTTTTTTAATTATTCCGCAATTATTTTTCAGTTATGGTCACAACTTTTATTTATTACATTATATTATTATTTTAAATGCTCGCGTAAAAAAAAGGAAAAAGTTTACTCGCATTTTTATAAATGAATTGTTGTGATTGTAACTATGCTTAAATTTATAACACCTCGCATTCCTAAGTTTAAGTATTGAAATATTAAATGAGAATTAAAGAGAAGGATTAGTGAAAATCCTGAATATAAGGCCAAAATACAAAGAAAAGACAAAACGGTAAATTAGCCACGCAAACAACCCTAGGAAGTAAATTTAGTAGAAGGTCTCAGATGACAAAGATAACCCTAGAAATGGATTCAGAACGAAAAATTGAGTGGTTAGACAAGTTTCAGGAAATTCAGTGAATAGTATTTTTACCGGATAAAAGTACTACGGTACAGTTGCACCGTAAAGCATGCCAATTGAGTTTTTAGCTCTAGGTTTTAAATATGAGTTATAAATGGTCTATAGAACTAGGAATATGATTTCTGATAAAATTTGATGGAAGTAAGTTAGTTTGGGGAAGCGTGCCAACGACGCGCGCAACAGCTTAAAACTGCAGTATTTCCGAATAACTGGAAAACTCAGGATTCATCTGATCAAGTATAATTAAAGGACAATGGTTAATGTAAAAAAATTAGAGTTTCTAAATAGGTTGTGAATTTACGGACGTTTAGTGGATTAAACGAGAGTTAAATCAGTTTGAAAACGCGTGAGGTGGCGGTGGGACCCACCCCACTTAAACCACTTAAGCCACATAAGCCTAGGACACTATTCATCATCACTTCCCTCCTCCCTCATGAAGCAAACCCGCAGCCCTCCTTCCCAAAACCCCATTTCCTCTTCAAATTTCGTTTCCTTATAACTCCATCAATACTTAACCAAATCAAGTGATTTTTGTGTTGAAATTTGTTGGAAACAACCTTCCAAACACATTGGTGGCATGCATTAGCCTTGAAACCCTCTCATTGGTGATATGTAGGACAAATTCAGTTATGAAATTGTGGAGAAAAATTGATGTTCATGGAGTCATTTGGCCTTCCATTGCTTGGATAAGTCTTGGAGGAGTATCAAGCCTTGATTGTGAGTATGTTTCTACATCAATTTCATGGTTAATTTGGTAGATCATATTTATGAACCCTAGACCTTGTCTTGTTGATTTGTGATGTTAGAGAGCTCAAATGGAAAATGTGTATTAGATGATAATGTCTTAGAATGATGTGTTAGAGCTAGAAATGAAATGAAATTTATTGGTGAAAAATATGATTTGGTAACTTAGAAAATTTGGAGGTTGTCATGCCTTTGAATTTTGAAAATGTGTTAGGATTTTGTTAGTGAGTTGTTGTATGATTATATGTTGATTTAATGAGATTGTATGAGGTGTAGAGTGGTCAAAATGGAGTGAAGATCCGTTGGAATTGTTTAGGCCACAATTCGGCCATTTAGAGAATTGTTGGGAATTGATGTTGTTTGCATGGCTTGGATGATGTATCATGTATTAAATGGTATTTAGATGGGTTGTGTGGTAGTTGGAAAGTGGAAGAATCAATGAAAAATAATTGAGGGTGTTAAATGCCATAAAGGATCCTAGAGTAAAATATTAGACAAAACGTTGTTTAAAAGACGAAAAGTGAAAAACGGCACTTGGTATGGCCTTTTGGCAACCTAAGGATGCCTAAGAAAATGAGAAAGAAAATTTAGAAAAATAAATCTCAATTTTACACATGTTTGGCCGAACCTACAAGGGTGTAGGGGAGGTTTTGACATTTTTCGCGTTTTGATAGAATTATCGTGTACTGATGATTCGTACATGGTTATTGTAGGTTGCCGTACGTCGATTTGAACCCCGAACCGTGAGTCGGTGGATTTCCCTTGGTCATGGACCAAGTGGTATTGAGGTAAGTGGTTGAATCATGCTTGTAAAATTGTTAGCTGGCATGTGTTCGTATTAGTTTTGAGTAATTAGGAATGTCCTCTGTGTAGGCATTATGTCGAGTAACAAGCATGGAACATAAACTACTTGGAGCTAAGTGGAGAAACACATTGAGGTAACCTCTTGGTACTGGGGCTTGTTGCCCTTGTGTGTTCCACCATACTCGTTGAGGGTGATGGTAGGAAATGTATATGAGTAATGTAGAATGACATGTGCATGCATTGAGTATTTATAAGGGTACATATGTACCGAGTCTCTGGCCAGTAGACAGTTTTTGCCTTCGGGCATTTCAGACTTCCATTGGATAGGTCTCCGAGAGGGAGTTCCAGTTGACCCAGGGTCGTGGTGTGTGATTCGGATAGGAGCACACTAGGAAGTCTCGGGTGTATGCGGATGGGAGGGGTACCTTGGTTAGTTATTCTTGGAACACGCCTTGGATGAGACCCGTAGGCTTATATGTCGAGGACGTTGCGTGGTATTGGTAGCTACCATTCCCGCTTCGTCGTATTTTGTATTCCTATATTCCCCAATTTCTCTAAATCCCTTGCTTTATCCCGTTTTAGAAAGTGGTTATTTTATATTATTTATATGCATCGAAGTGAGCCATTGGGCGGAGTTTTCTCCAGAACCTCTGGGTTACTGAGATATATTCGTATATCTCACCCCGTCTTGGGGGCATTATTTCAGGAGGTAGCAGTGGCACGGGAGCGGCGGGCAAGAAGCCCGTAGGATGAGTCATTGGAGGACTTGCACTTTTGCATTTTGATGGCCATTTGGCCTAGGCTAGACTTAGGGCATGAACATCCCATATGTACGTAGGATGAGTTTCATAATCATATTTATTCATGTCATTTTTCTTAAGTCTAGTTGTACATGTCTTTTAAGCTTTATGTTTCAAGTTGTAATTAAAGTTATGAAGTTGTAAGTTGTAACATGTAAGTGAAATATTGTAATTGTACAATGGATACATGATGTAATATGATGGAAAGGATTTAGGCCTATTTTAGGATTATAATTATATGTATGTTGAGAAATTGCATGTAAATGGACATTGGTGATTGAAACAAGTTAAGGATTTATAAAGTGAGCCATATGGTATAAATTGTGTAATAACTATAAACTGAGTTGGGTTGTAAGTGCCCCAAGGCATTGTTGGTCCTTGTGTGTGCCACCCATTGGTTATTAGGTACATTTGAGGTACTAGAAAGCAATTACAAATTTGGGGATTTTAGGAAAAACAAAGGAAACTCTGGCGAATTTTCTGTAGAATTGGCAGAATTTAGATGAAATTCAGGAGAGCATATCTCCCTCCATAGAGGTCAGATAGGGACGTTCCATACGCCATTTTAAAGCTTGGTATGTCCCCTACATTGTGTTAAAATATGATAAATGTATGGGTTTAACGAAGCCCTGTAGAAACCGGCGAACATTGACTGTCCAGAACGCACCTGTACAGGGGCTGTTTCTGGCAGTTTTTGGGAATTTTATTCCTGCTTCGTTTCTCGGTCAAATTAAGTGTATGATATATCAAATTGAAGCTTGAGTTGTCTAGTTCATGGTATAAAAATTTGAGAGCAATTTAGTGAGTGGTTTTGCTGAAGTAATTCGTGGAGTGCAGGATGTTTGGAGCTGTTTTGGGGTTGGTTGGCAGTTTTGCTTATCCAACTTCAAACGGTGATATCCAGAGCAAACGAGGTCGAAATGACTCATGTGATGGTTCATTGGAAAGGTATTTAAGTAAGAAAATACATAGCTAAAGAGGAAGGACTGGTTTTTTGTGGTGTGTCCGCAGAAAAATAATAACCGAACCATGTTCGGATGAATGGAAAACGTAAAATCGAGAAATTAGCTAAGTAGGTTTATGGGAACCCCTTAGTGTCTTGTATTGAGTAAAATAAGATAAAAAAATAGTTTAAAGAATTATTCCGCAAGAGTTTACAGTTATGGTCACAGCTATTAATATTATGCTTTTTATTGTTTTAAATACTCGCGTAATAACGGAAAAAGTTTATTTGCATTTTTATAAATGAATTGTTGTGATTGTAACTGCGCTTAATATCATAATCAATGTTAACAATACCGGTGTACAACGGGCTGTTACAAATTTCATAATCAATGTTAATAATACCGATGTTCAACAAGCTGTTACAAAAACGAAGTCTTGGGCAGAAGCTATAGGCTTGGAAGATAGCATACAGGGAGATCAGTCAAACTAGGAGTCATATCTTGTCCAAGAGGAACCTGAAGTTCTAAATCCCAAGAATGGGGAAGTGTCTGAGTGAGGCTTCCAGTCGATTGTAAAAGAAGATGATACTATCAACATTAGGTGCTTAAAAGAGGCCAAAGAGCGGATGAGGAAGCCATGGGTCAATGCTCTTATTGTCAAATTACTGGGTAAGAAGATTGGAGTAGGATTCATGAAGAAGAAGCTTGAGGGGTTCTGGGCTAAATCGAGTGTTATCACAGTTGCTGACTTAGGGAATGAGTACTTCTCAGTCAAGTTCACGCGCCTTGAATACCTTAACCTGGCTATTATGGGAGGACCTTGGATTATTCTGGGCCACTATCTTGCAGACAGAAGGTGGGAGCCAGGGTTTGTTCCAGAAAAAGCCAACATTCACAAAGTTGCTGCTTGGATACAGCTTCCAGGTATCCCTCAGGAATACTTTGAGTTTCACTTCTTGAACTTTATTGGTAACCTCATAGGAAAAGTCCTTAAAGTGGACAAAACCACCACCATTGGTGACAGAGGAAAATTTGTGAGGGTCTGTGTTCTCTTAGACCTCTCGAAACCTCTAAAAAGAAAGTATGAAGTAGAGGATAATAAGATGAAAATAGAGTATGAAGGGCTCTATCTCATCTGTCTGCACTATAGAAGGTACGGGCACAGTAATACCACTTGTCCTGACCTTTGCAGACAACCCCCTCCTCCGAATAATCCTAAAGTGAGGGAGATGTCCCCTGAATCCGCTCTAGGAGTTGAACAAAATTATGGTGTGGGCCTCTAGATGATTGTTAAATGCCGAAAAAATCCACTCCAAGTAAACAGAACAGTACCCCTTCTGCTAAGAGATCTTTTTGCGCTGATCGCTACAATGGAAAAAACCTTCTTCCTTCCACCTCTGAAAATGGTAAAGGGACTCAGAGCAACGCCAATCAGCAACAAATGTATCCTCCCAAGAAAAAGGGCCTTACCCATTCCTCAACAGAAAATATTAATCCCAACCTCCTTGTCACACAACTCATTCAGAAGTTGGTGTTTAGTGCTGAAGCTAGTAAGAAACCTCTTAGTAGAAACCTACCTGTTAAGCCTATACCTGGCTTAGGGGCTTTAAATATGACTCTGCTCTTTGTCGGACTGGTTCTTCCCGCAACCAAGTTCATACACGTACCATTCCTCTTACATTAGGGACTGGTAGCGCTGTCTGGAAATTTAACCAGGATTCCATGAGATCCGAAGACAAAATGGCTCAGGATCTCTCTCCTGGCCCCTCATCTGGGAAGCCACCCTCTATCACATCCAATTCTATTCCTCCTACCACTTATGCTGATTCTTCTCCTCTAAATCAGTTTGATTCCCCTCTGGTCTCTACAATGAATTTAGATGACTCTCGTACTTTAGATAAACATCCGGATGAGGCTATCACCCAACGTCTGTCTTTGGGAGGAACCACATTTGGTATGGAGGTATATCAACAATACAGCGCTAAGACGGATGTTGATAAGATTACAAGTCCCCAGGTTCTTTATAATCTTGGGAACCAAAACTCTTGTTAATGATCCACCTTGTCTGGAATTATAGGGGAGCGACCAAGAAGCCTTTTAAGAACACCTTGAGGAACTTTGTGAAAAATCACAAGATTGGTATGGCTGTTATTTTAGAGCCTAGAATTAGTGGGGTTTCAGACCTAAGGAAAATCAAACAACTCAGGTTTAGTTATCACATAATGAAAGATGCTTCTGGTTTTATGGGGGGCATTTGGCTGCTGTGGAAAGATGAATGCCTCACATTAGGCTTATTGAACAATCTAAACAATTCATTCGTATAGATTGTTGTCAGAAGAATAGTCCCAACTTTCTGTTGACTGTGGTTTATGATAATCCGCGAGAGGAAATTAGAAATGACTTGTGGATGGATCTTAAAAAAATTACTGACACTGTCTCTGGCCTTTGGGCTGTCATGGGGGACTTCAATGAGATTATATCTGCTTTTGAAAAGAAAGGAACTCCTGTGAACCTGACTAAATGTTCCAAATTCATAGAGGTCCTTGATGTCTGTAATATTGCGGATATTGGTTATTTTGGTGCTAAGTATACTTGGAGAGGGTTCTAAATACCTTCACCTTGATAGAGTCTACAAGAAACTTGATAGAGTATGTGCTAACACAGAGTGGAGAACTTCTTATGCTGATGCCTCTGCTAGAACTCTCCCTAGATTGAGCTATGATCACAACTCCATCATTCTTTCCTTGATTCCCAAGGACACGACTTGGAGGGAGAGACCCTTCAAATTTCTAGCGGCTTGGCATGAGCATATCAACTTCCCTTATTTCTAAAAAGTTCCTGGGACTATCACTCCAGTTTTTGCTCCTCTCTCTTGAATTTGATTGGTCCTTTGAAGATATGGAGTAAAAATATATTTGGTAATATCCATATAAAAAAGGAAGCTCTCTTGAGGAAACTTCATGATCTGCAAATAAATAAGTGGGGCTTGTCTGACAATCTTCTTTTGTTTTTGGATCATGCTTTACAAAAGAAGATTAATGGAGTTTCAGAAGAGGAAGAAAGCTTATGGTTTCAAAAAGCCAAATGCAAGTGGATAGCAGAGGGTGATAAAAACACTAGATTCTATCATTATCTCCAAAAGATCTACAAACAAAATCTTAGAGATAAAAGATGATGCTGGAAATTTGTTGAGGGATGAAAACAATATTATTAATCTAGTCATGACCTTTTATCGTAATTTGTTCTTTGAAGACTCCTCGTCTAGACCTTGGCACCTTTCCTTTTCCACTTGGCCGAAGCTTGATGTAAGAACCAACACCGTTAAATTAAGAATTTAAAATAATTTAATTATAAGTTTAGAAAATAATTTCATAATTGACTTTGGATAAATATAGAAATATTAGAATAATTATCAAGAAGGTCAAATAACGCTTAAATCGCTTTTCTGATGAAAAGTATAAATACCGGTTCTGCTTCATGGTATAAAAGTATATGGGCAAAGTATTCTGAAAAATATAATAAAAATATACATATTCCTAGAAAAATATCTAGGTCAAGGATATCAAGTTTGGAGTAAAGATAATGAGCGGAGATGTCCGAACTAATATCGGCTATGTATAAAACGCGTACCGGTAAAGTGTTTCGAAAATTATAATAAAAATATGATAATTCCTAAAAAAATGTCTAGGTTTAGAATATTATGTTTGGTAGAAAAATGATTAGAGGATCTATTAGAACTAATACTGTTGATTAGTAGGCACATTAATATAAATTTCCACTTGCACTAAACCCTAGGTCAATTTTTCTGATCCCAAGGTTGATCCCATGGCTGCCACCTTCCTCCTCCATGAAAGCTTGAGTTTTGAGCATGAGACTTAACCAAGAACACACATTTCTCCACTCTTATACTATAGAATCACCATTAAACCTTGTAAAACTTGACTCTTGTGAGGGAAAGGTCATATCTTGAGAGTTTGTGCAACTATTTTAATAGTAGTAGGGCTGACCATTGGTGTTCTTAGAGTGTGAACCATTAATACACTCTAAGAAGCTCCAAGAGCCAAACTTTGTGAAGAAAGAACCTACCTTGGAATGGGATTTTCGTGCACCACCAAGTCAGTAGCTTGGAGCACCTTCAGTGTCCTCAAAGCTTCCCCATTTTTCTGGTTTCAAAGGTCCATAGGTAACTACAAACCATTTTTCTTTGTATTTTCTTAAAAATGAGTTAGTTTGTAAAGTAAAAAGTGGAAATCTTAATGATGCGTGTAAAATATGGTATAATGATGTTTAAGCATGTGGTTTAAAGTACTATTTGATGAAAAATTGGACCTTGGACCCTTGGAAGCCATGGACCCCGCGGATTATGCAGAAAATTCTGCATTTATCGTGTTCTCTTCGCGTGGTAATCGATTATCCTGTTAATGGTAATCGATTACCATGTGGAGTCATCAATGTTTATGGTAATCGATTACCATGTGGAGTAATCGATTACCCTTTGTATGATAATCGATTACCCCCTATCAGAAAGACTAGAAACCAGTTCTAATGCATGGGAAAGTCCCAATTTGGGTATGATTTAGAAGGGATTTAATTCACTAAACGAAAAAGAAAACATTGCTCAATTAATGTGAAATTGGGTTCTGTATATTGATAATGTTCTTGATATAAAACATATTGCAATTGTTGGATTGTGTGATTGTTGGTGTATCTGTATATACCGAGCCTTTGGATAGAGATTTTGGCACTATAGGTAAGCTTTCGTGTCCTCGGTTTTACCCATTGATGATTCCACCATACCTCATGGAGGAATGATTTATATGCCTGATGTGTTTTTCAGAAAATATATCGATTTATATGGTGAATATTCGATATGTTGTTGAGCTGGATTTTATTATAGTGCAATTGCTATATGTATATGTATGTGGGGTATTCCACACGAGACGGTAATTCCTGAGCATGTCGGGCCACATGCAAGATGGTAACTACATGTGTGAGGTACATGGTGGACTCCTTGTACTGTGGGTTGTAGACGTACATAATGCCTATATTTTATTATCTGGCCATTAGGATGCATACACACATGACATGGACATATGCTGCATTGCATAAATTTTGCTATTATACTGCTGTTATCATTTTTGAACTTATATAGAACATGTAAGTGAGCTTGGGATGGAGAGATCCTTGAGGACCCCTTGTCTTACTGAGATTTCTTGTTAGAGATCTCACCCCGTGTGGGGCACATTTTCATGTACAGGTGTTCCTGAGGTTAAGACCTCTGGTGGCAGGAGGCCGAAGTTGGGCTGACATTATGCGTGCTTCTTACTTGTCATATTTAGATATGATTATGCCTTGCTGTTATGTTTTTATGGCTATTGTATTTAAGATATCATTTGAATATGTGTTTTATTTGGTAAGCATGGGGATTGTCCATGCCACATTGGTATAAGTTGTATTTATTCAGACTGAGTTGTATTATTGTATCAGGACATGTCTGGTCTACGTGTGGTAGTTCCATTATTTGATACATTATTTATATTATGAGGTTATTCAGTGTAGTTATTTATTACAATTTACAAACAGGCGGTTTGAAAAAGAATAAGTAAATCTATTTGGTTAATATGATAAGGTTCATAATTGGAAAAATTTAGCTTCCGTATATAATGAGCTGCTCTGATTACCATTTATATGTTTAATACACCAGGTGCACACGGGGTGTTACATTATATGGTATCAGAGCACTTTGTAGGGAAAAAGACTGTATGTGTTGTAATAACTTAAGATGCTTTGTTATGTGAATTGTCTTGTGAGTTTCTGTTAGGTTTTGCAGTGATAATGCATGCGTGACCACATTGTATGGGCCTGATCAACTCATCATTTGTGTAACATGTGCAGAGTTATGGCACCTCCTAGGAAAACTTGGGAGACAAGCGAGGGTCAGTCTGATCCTATCCTGACTGCATTGGCTGAGATGCAGGCGGCTAGACAAGCCGATCAAGAGGCCACTAGGGCGGCCAACCAGGCCATGATGGATGTTGTTAAAGAGTCGAATAGGAAAGCTACGGAGGACATTCTTGAGGTGAGCCGACTGGCGAACATGACTATGAATGAGAATGGAGGAGGTGGGACGCGCATTCCTGAGAACGATGGTTAGAGCCACTTGGAGGTTGTTAGTCACCTTACGGGGATGATGCAACCTTACTATGAGCCCGTGGAAGATCAGGAGACGAGAGACCACCGGCTGAATGCTTTCTGTAAACACAAGCCACCTTCTTTTGATGGA